TTCAAATATTGTGTTTTATTTTTGCTTAAAAAATGTTACCTTATTACCAGGTTAGCAAGTGTGTGATATTTTAATTTCTGAATCTCACTTGAAGTTTCTTAAGTATGTAATAAGAAGTGAGAAATATTTTGGTAGCATTAAATATTTAAAATTACCTGGGATTTCACATGAAAGTTTTATTAGTAAAAATCCAATGACTTTACATTTTAATATTTTTGTTTGCCACATTAAGGTAGATAGTTTAAAATAAAAAGAAAGTGTTTTTATTTTTGGGTGTTAATTCCCCAACTGTTCCCAAGAAATAGTTCTGCTTTTATTTTTTAAAATGTTATTGAGATTTACAGAGGAAAATATTTAGTGGAAATTGAAATTCAGAGTATATAACATTGTCACCATTATTTCTTTTTAAAAAATATTTCTAAATTTTTAAATTGATTTGGGGGTGGGGGAGAGAAAGAGAAACATCAATGTGAGAGAGAAACATCTATTGGTTTGTCTCCCTCACATGCTGCGCGCTCCCTGACTAGGAATCCAACCCACAACCCAGGTATGTGCTCCGACCAGGAACTGAACCCACCACCTTTTGTGTACCGCAGATACTCCAGCCAGTAGCCACACCAGCTAGGGCAAGACCATTATGTCTTGATCTTTACAAAGTTTAGTTTTTGTCCATCTAAGAATGTAGCTCATTGGTATTCGTTGTTGTTTTTTTAATTTAATGGTGGAGAGATTTTGTGTATTGGGTGTGTTGCTATTTTATGGAATGTATTGCTTGGAATTTAACTATGAGGTTAAATTTGGTGTTCATCTATTTTTGGTTTTCCTTTTTTAAAGTATATTTGCTCTGTAACACCTAAGAACCCGACCATATGTTTTTCATTCCTGTTTTTCAATAGGAATCAGTTTTTTTGTGTGTATGTGGAGAAATTGGGTAGACATCTCTCAAAAATGTAATTTTTAAAAATTCATTAGAAAAAATAAAGCATCATATATGCGGTGTCACATCAGTTTGTGTTTTCTTTTTGTGATCTAACCAGGACCATCTTTAGAAGTTGACAGTAGGTAGCCAAACCTAGTTGACCCAAGTTTAGAATATTCATTTTTGAAGAGTCTAGATTTTTATTTATTTGTTGGATTTTGGATGATATATTTTCATACTACAACAGTACTTCAGTTTTCTGGGATTTAAATGTTCTCGTTTCTAAACACAGTTTCAGTGCCTTTTACTTTTGTCTTTACGTTTGTAAACACAGCATCCTGATCATAGCATGGAATATTTTCTTCATAATGCTCTAAACCAGTGGTTCTCAACCTTCTGGCCCTTTAAATACAGTTCCTCATGTTGTGACCCAACCATAAAATTATTTTCGTTGCTACTTCATAACTGTAATGTTGCTACTGTTATGAATCGTCATGTAAATATCTGATATGCAGGATGGTCTTAGGCGACCCCTGTGAAAGGGTCGTTCGATTGCCAAAGGGGTCTCGACCCACAGGTTGAGAACCGCTGCTCTAAACAGTTATTAACTGTGTGATTCAGTTGACGTTTTTTGTTAATGCCACCTAGCAATTTGCTTTTATGATTAAAGTCCTTTTGTCTGCATACTTTCTCGATGTTTGCTTCTTTCGCATTAAACACTAAATTGGAAAGTGATGTTTGGCACCTGTTTTGCAAAAATTTGGAATCATCAAGAAATTTTTCTTGACTTTAATAAAGCAGTCTTTTTTATTGTCTATTGTCGGTGTTAACTTTTAAATGTTTATTAGCCCAGCCGGCATGACTCAATGCTTGAGTATTGACTTATGAACCAGGTCACGGTCTGATTCCCGGTCAGGGCACATGCCAGGGTTGCGGGCTCAATCCCCAGTGGGGGCTATGCAGGAGGCAGCCGATCAATGATTCACTCTCATCATTGATGTTTCTATCTCTCACTCTCCCTCTCCCTTCCTCTCTGAAATCAATAAAAAATATTTTAAAAATGGTTTATTAAACTAGTTTATTAAAAAGCTTATTTAAAGTATGTTTTGAAAAACATTTAAAACATAATTTAAACTGCTAAAATGCTCTAAATGTTGCCTAGAACTTGAGATGTAAAATAATAATCTTATTTAAACTTCTTTCTCATTATGATTTAGTAACCTTTATGTGTGTAATTTCTCCACATAATTCAACATGTTTTTTTAAAAAACATCTAAGCCTTTACCTGTGTGCTCAGATGGTTGGACGTCATCCTGGGCCAGTTCATTTCCTGGTCAGGGCACATGCCTGGGTTGTGGGCTCTATCCCCTGTAGGGGGCGTGCAGGAAGCAGCGGATCAATGTTTATCTCTCACAGCGATGTTTCCCTCTCCCTCTCTCTTTCTCTCTCTCTAAAAATCAATAAAAACATTAAGAAAACCATTTTAAACATAAAAAGATTTTAAAATTAGCTATTTACAGATAGATTTATATTAATTTAAACATTTTCTTTACTATAGATAACTCGTTGCACTTTAGTAATAAGAGCATGGGTTTCATAGGCTTATAGACGCTTGAAATGTTTTAGAAAACTAGTCTTCATAATTTTCACAAATTTTGTTCTTTCACCCAGGTCGCTAATTCATGTATGTAACCTAAAGTTGCAGGCCCATAAACATTAAGGTGTCTGCCCTATGCCAGCATTGTTCAGGCTTTGTGTGTGGGGTTCATAATAAAGAATGGTTTCTGGGCCTTAGCTCGTTTGGTTCAGTTGGATAGAGCATCGTTAGTGGACTGAAAGGTCCCAGGTTCGATTTCAGCCAAGGGCACATGCCCAGGTTATGGGCTGGATCCCTAGTAGGGGGCATGAAGGAGGCAGCCAGTCAGTGATTCTCTCTCATCATTGATGTTTCTAGCTCTCCCTCTCCCTTCCTCTCTGAAATAATAAAAATATCTTTTTTAAAAATGACTACATTGAGCATGTATTACTATTTTTTTTTAAAAGAATGCTCTCTGGGGTCTTTTGACTCTTTGGGAAGGTAGAAAACCTAAAATAGAGTGTTTAATACAGTGGTTGGTGTGATACAAATTTCAGAATGTGAAAATAAATCTGTTGTAAACAGAAATAAGTCATTATGGAGATGGGTCTTTCACTGTGCCTTGAAAGAGGTACAGGATTTGATTGAGAAAAATAGGGAAGGAATTTCAAATTTATAATGAGATAAACATATTTTTAAAGAATGATTAAGTCCAGTTTAATTAGAGTAGTGTGATACTAATTTAGTATCTATATTTTAAAAGACCTTATGTGAAAATAAGTGGTTCTAGTAAACAAACAAAAATCACTAAAAAAGGTATTTTAATAATGTTAGAAAAGTCAAATTCTAATCTGCTATTGAACATATATTTCTTATACTATATTCCTTATTTTCACAATTTATACCAAGGTCAATCTTTTTTCCTGCTTTGGCATACTGTTACTATAGTCCTGCCTGTGATAATGCTGTGATGCCCAGATTGATGGCATATAGCACAAGTATTTAAATTATTTGGAGAAATTTGGCTGGGTGCAGGCTGCTGAGGTCTTACGCTATCTGGAACTTCAGACCTATGGTTAGTAAGAGGGAATTGCTTTATAAATTATACTAGAGACCCAGTGCATGAATTTGTGCACCAGTGGGGTCCCTCAGCCTGGCCTGCGGGATCAGGCCAAAACTGGCTCTCCAACATCCCCCGAGTGGTCCTGGATTGTGAGAGGGTGCAGGTCAGGCCAAGGGACCCCACTGGTGGCATGATCAGGGCCGGGGAGGGATGCGGGAGGTTGGCCAGCGGGGAGGGATTGTGGGAGGGCTCCATGGTGTGTCCAGCCTGTCTCGCTCAGTCCTGACCGGCCAGATCCCAGCAGCAAGCTAACCTACTGGTCAGAGCGTCTGTCCCCGAGTGGTCAGTGCACGTCATAGTGAGCGGTTGAATGACCTTAGCATATCATTAGCATATTACGCTTTGATTGGTTGAACGGCCAACCCATCGACCGGACACTTAGCATATTAGGCTTTTATGATATAGGATACTCCTTTCCTTATTCCCAAAACTGATTCAGGGCTAAGCCAACCTCAAGTGAAATACAGCCTTAATGGGGCATTTCCTATGAGATGGCCTTGGCATTCTTGTGATTCAGATGATATCCAGAAAGAGGTTTAGAGTTGATCTAAACACATAGTGATCAACCTGAAGTATATATCCTAAACACGATCAGTGCAAGAACCACCTCTAACTTCCTAAGACCCTCTTTAGTCATGTAAATCAGCAGAGTGTGATCATTCTCTAAGGATTGAAAACATTTTGCCAGAGAATTTGTACTGTGGTGGTAAAACTTGTCCCTAATACAACTTACTAGATAATCTCTTATATGGTAAATAAAGAGATATCGGTATATATATGCCCTCTCTGTTAGAAGGTGACAAAGGAATCATCTGATAAAGTATTATACCTGTTGCTAGTGATTTTTTGCAGCATAGACTTCAGCTACTACAATCTACATTTCTGTACTTTCTGTTCACATACTAAAGTGGATTGAAACCAATGAAAGATTGCCAGAGATATGCCCAGTTGAAAACTTTTGTTAGGTGTTCCAGTTGAAAATATATCTTGCTACATATTGGTAATTTGCCAGGTTTGGTCAAAATCAACTCTATTTAAGCCGGTTAATCTCTTTAAACATTATTATAGAAAGGAAAAGCAGTACTGAACAGTGGAGTTGATAAAAAGACCTTTCTTTGGCCACATTATAATTAAAACCAGCCAATTTTTATTTTTATATATTATGGGATTTTTCAGTTAATCACATTGCTCACATGTATTTTATAATCATATATTATCTGTCTGTATTTAATAGGCATATGAAAGTGATTTTAGTTAGGATTTTAGTTTTTTTTTTGAGCAGCCAAACTAATATTTCCTAAGAGAATTTCTCTTATTCTAACAGATACTAAATCTAAAGAGTTGGTGTTTTTTTGTTTGTTTTGCTTGTTTTTTTGTTTTAGTCGGCCATATACTAACAAGGTCATCACTTTATGGTACCGTCCACCTGAACTGCTGTTGGGAGAAGAACGGTATACACCGGCTATTGATGTGTGGAGCTGTGGGTAAGATAGGTTTATTGATTGGTTTAATTTACTTGAAACCTTTGTTAAGTAAAATCCATATCATTTGCTAATGATGGGTATTTTTTCCATTAGATGTATCCTTGGTGAACTCTTCACTAAAAAACCTATATTTCAAGCAAATCAGGAACTTGCACAACTAGAATTAATAAGGTAAGCTTATGATTTCATATTTGCCGAGTGGAGGTTGTTATACTCTGTAGGATATTTAAAATCTTTCAGAATGTTTTCAGAGGGAGAACAGCATGATTCTCTTGAAGGCTCTAATGACTGCTGAATGACAGAGAAACTAGAATGCAGGCACTTTGATCTAGTAAAATTAAGGATCTTAAGGTCTCTAAATCTGTGTGTGTGTGTATGTGTGTGTGTGTGATTAAATCAAAGGGCTTGAAGTAGAAAAGATGAGACTGGGAAGGAAAAAATAAATATGAGGGAGGAGAAAATGAATGGTAGATACATTTTCATTAAGTATGACAGGATGGAAGAATTAATGGTTTGGGATATTGCAAAGAAATACTCTTATTTTATATCCATTTGCATATATGTTTAAATGTATCTATATATGTATACACAGCAAAATATATTCATCATGAAGCATGGGTCTTCATGATTTGAGCCCATCATATGACCTAGGTTATAAGTAATTATCATACATCAGTCACCTTTCTCTTCATCTAATATTTTAAATAATTTTTTTTAAAAAGAGCTTTCCCGCCCTGGCCGGCTTGGCTCGGTGGATAGAGCATCAGCCTGCGACTGAGGGGTCCCGGGTTCGATTCCGGCCAAGGCAACATGCCTGGGTGAGGGCTTGGTCTCCAGTGGGGGGGCGTGCGGGAGGCAGCTGATCAGGATCTCTCTCA